GTTGCTGTGACAGTCTAATATTTACGATTTATATTCTGTTATACATTGGACACCATCAGCAGGTGATAATTTGATAAATGAATAAAAAGCAGCTCTAAACCCCTACTCCACTAAGCCTCTAACCCCTCTACTACACATTCCTCTCCCGTTCGTAGCACCCCCGGTCGGTAAAAACAGCAGACGGTAGCGGTCCGCGGCTACCGCGCCAAACTAGCGTCACATTGAGTGGCGCCGCGCCGAATCAGCCACGCGGCGCCGCCGCACGCCTCACGGACGGGTACGACCCCCCAGGAGACGGTGCATTGACTTTACTCTAACTGACCGGTGGACGCGTGCATATAGAGATATTTGCACGACGCCCTTCTCTAGAATACACAGCATTATGAGCTCAACTCAAAAGGCGCGCGTATGCATACAATATTGTAGGTATGGGGTAGTTGTCAGTCTCGAGAGTGATACAAGCCGCTTCCGTTAAGCATTCACTTAAAATGCATTCCTCTGGATGTCTAAGAATGTTTTGCCCTTTCTTGCTGCCTCTCAATATCTGCAGAAATTTCAGCCCCAGTTGCCGAGTCCAGTGACACTGCACAGTGCACTGACCCCCTGTACATTGGTGCAGGCTCGGCCCCAGTTCTCGAGTCTAACAGCCCTTCACCGGCACACAGCCCGGCTGTGTGCGGCGGTGAGGGTTTTCGCCCCACTCTCTGGGTCTAACGACCTCAGCGAGAGACCACCTCCCGGACCAACAGCTGCGGGACGGCCGCGCGCCGGCGCCGGCGCAACAATTACCCAACAATTACTCACACACGCTGCACTAATTGCTCGGCAATGGCTCATCAGTTGGCCATCAGTTACTCTAACAGTTGCCCATATCACTTGCAAAAGTAGTTTGCCAAGTTTGGGACTTCCGACACTCCAGTGTTTAACGTGGCTCGAACGCTCCTGATTCGTCCATGGGTTTAACCTACAATTCCAGCTCATAACGGTTTTCTCCCCTCCCCAGGGTACTTCACCCGAACGTGCTCCTTTCCGTTTCCCCCTCTGCAGCTGTTCTTCCCTCTGGCAGGCCCCAGGTAACGTCCACCCACCCAACCACCCCCATGGTACTCCCAACACCTCCCCGGCCCCACACCAGACGTCCAACACTGAACAACCTCCCGAGCCAAGCCTCCGAGCCGAGCCGGGCTCCATTCGTGGCAGCACGCTATTAGCTTCCCTAACCACCTCCCAGCCGGTGATCTGGCTCTAACCGCCTCTCGGGCCCTCCGCTGCCCGCCTAACCGGCCATAGGCGCACCGCTTCCTTTGTCTTCACCGCCGCCGCCAGCGGAACATTAATCCAATTTATCGATACTGCAGATATATCAAGAACACCTAGGTTTTCGCCCGGGGGAGAGTCTGGTGGACGGTAAGGAGTGCGCGCAGGAGTGCAGTCTGCCGCAGAGTGGAAGACGCCGCCGCCAGCCGCGCGCGCGGCTGGTCGGAGCCCGAATTTATCGCCGCGGAAGGGTATTAGTGTCTGGGGATCAAATTAGGATTCATTACCGGGTTTTATGGGCGCCGTAGCTCGGGGGAGGTGGTTCTGCGGAGGCGGCCCGCTCTCGGGCCGGCCGGGGTAGCCGCGGGTGTCGTCCCAGCCCGCTCATGGAACCGAACCCTGATCGGTATCAGACCAGTGGGTAATCCGCCACATTGGGATGTCTCTTTTCTCCCCGCTGTGGCGGAGGGCCTGGCAAATGGTCCTGTTGGATCCCAACCGCTCCCAGACTAGTGTCGTAAACCGGCGAGCCGATGGTCCGGACCAAAATCAGACCACCAATCAGAGTCGGGTCAGCGACCCTGCAGGGCGGCCGGCCGGTCAAACGGTCTCCTCAGAGAGTATGACATAGTGGGGCCATACGGAACCACGGGGTTTGGTTTACAGGGGCAGCGGGACCCTGGCGGCGCACTCGAGCGGAACGGCGCCCAGGGAGGTGCTATGGGTGATTCATGTCTCACCCTGTGAAATCACCAAACGGCCTCCATTTCTCACACAGATATTAGCCTCTAGACGTGGACTGCAATTCAACACTGACCTATAGCATTGCTACAGGTCTTGTTCTTCTCATTGAGCTTCAAAATCGAACGCATGATGCATGGAAAACCAAGCACGAGATATAGCAAATCAATGTAGAAAATCAACGCATTGTAGTTTCAGAATTGTCACACATTTTAAGCGTATTTTCAATGGATGAAATTCTTTTAGCTAGTGCAGTGTTAGCCACACATCTTGCAACAAATATTCAAGCAATTTTCCACCCAAGACTACCTTCTCACAACAGCCACCAACCACCGCGCCCAGCTCTGATTATCCCGTCGCTGACCTCCTGGAGTTCTATTTGGTCTCCCGCCGGCAGCGTCAGGTAGCGATCAGCCGACGAGCCGCGCGCGCAGAGCGCTCGTCGCCCGACCCCGCCCCCCACTCGGCGCCGCGCATATCATCGCCCAGAATCACCGGCATCGTTCATCAGTGCTGGAGGATCACCGAGACAGGCAGCCACGTGCCGAGGGAGGAATGGATGAGAAGCGAGGGAAAGGAGGGTGGAGGCAAGGGCGGGGAGGAGGAGGGGTGAGTTGATGGGAGGGAGAAAGGTGAGCTAAATAGGGAGCAAAGGTGGGGCGATGGATAGAGGAGAAAAAATAGGGTAGGAAGAAAAAGAAGGGAAGAGAAAGGGGATAAAAGCGATATAGATGAGTACAGATAATGATAAGGAAGCCAGGATTTTGGGGACATTCAGAAGGGACAGTGCATAAATGCAAAAGACGTCCATAATTTGGGAGGCGTAGGTCCGATAATAGAAAAATGGTTTCTAGACTACGTCATAATCGGCGGAACGTCAGTTTTCAATTATTCATTGCCCTCCGCTCATTCCAGTAATTTGAGTAATTCATTTGTCTCGAGTAATCGGTACATCTTGAATATGCTTTGGAACACTTAACGGCCACGACTGGCCCGCTTTAATTGTTCACTAGCAGCAGAGTCGCGCCTAAATCAGCGGCTATCTAGCCATGCATCTGCTCGGCGGACCGTCAGCGTTCACTAATAGTGAGCCACTCCACTAAACACGATTCAAGACATACCCCGACCGGGACCCCACGCCGCGCCTCGGAACAGCGACGTATCTGGCGCACCGCCGCGCCAGAAGCGGCGTATCCGGCGCGTCAGTGAACGGCGCGCCCGGATTCCCGGGCTGCCGACAGCGCCACAATTGTCGCCACAGTCCAACCGCGCCGTTTGTGGCGCATTCCGGGGCAGCGCCCGAGCGGCACAGCACAAACATGACGCGCCGCGGCGACAGTGGCGCGGCGCAGGCGACAAAAGCGGCGCAGTGATGGATACGGGAGCGGAAGACTCAGAACGCTATCCTCCAAATACACACCGACTTATGTCAACAAGGTGGCAGCATCAATGGCCCAACGAACATATCAGCAAAGCGGTATTTGACAAATGTGACAAATTTGATAATCGAGAGATGTGTTCGTGAAAGCGCACACAAACCCCGAGCGTCTGGTTTGGCGGTGATTGAGTCGCTAAGGGAAGCAGCGGGGCGCGGCCGGGGGCAGATCTCTGACATACGAGGACCGCCTCCTTCAAGGTCAGCTGAGGCCAGCGATCGAGGTCACTGACCTAAGAGAGGGAGCTCCCGCGGTCTAATAAAATTAAACGGTCTTATAAACGGAACAAGGCCCGGGGACAAGGCGATTAAATATAAATTGTTTACATGTTATATGAATTCAAGTGTACTGACGAGAATGCTAGAAAGTGATATCTTAATAGTTTTTGAACCCTTGCAATAGACATTAGCGAATGCCACAATGTCCTAAAACATACCACTGTCTTTCAACACAGCCAAATCGTCTCCCCTGAGTAAGTCGGGATTCCAGAAGCACGACAATGCCTGCATTTTATCGTGGCAGCGTGCGCCTCGTGTCAGACCGCTCCCGATGTGAGGATTTACGGCGGCGGCGGACATTCAGTCGTGATTCAGTTGAGGTGGGTCAGTTGAGTGGCTGAGAGGTGCGCCAAGTTGCATACAGGGGATGTCCCACGGCAAGGGTGCTCCTACTAAAACCGGGAAATCCTCCCGTAAAAGAAGATTCACTTTATGACATATGGATGCACCAAGTGAACACTGAATAGACTCGGTTGCATGTGATGCCCACTCATCTAAGCTCTACTGCTATACTACAATCGTTTTCTCCCTAAACAGCTAAAAATTATGGAAGTGAAAAGCTGTACCCTCCTCCCCTGTCTGTTTTTGTCGAGTCAACTCCAGCTTTCCCTGTCCCTCCCCTTTCCTGACCCATACCCATCCCATGACTGTTCGTCCCCCTCCCGGCCCCACCCCTCCACGGAAACTGCCACGCCCCTGGGGCCTGCGCTGCGCTGAACCGGGCGCCCAGTTCCAGCTAATGGCGCGCCAAATTGTGGATATGAGCGGGAAACAGGGGCGGTGGTGGCGCCGGCAGGGGAGAGGGAGGTCAGAGGAGGGGGCAGGAGGGGCGGGAGGGCGAGCGAGGGTGACGGGCAGGAGCGGAGAGAGAGAGAGAGAGAGAGAGAGAGAGAGAGAGAGAGAGAGAGAGAGAGAGAGAGAGAGAGAGAGACTAGAGAGGAAAGAGAAAAGGATCTGCCAAATCTAATATAACTTCTCCTAATATAATTCCTCCACGGAGAAGCCGCAGAGTCCATCCCGCTACCACTAATAGACACTTTAAATGCATGGCCGGCGCTCCGTATCTGATAGTGTGGAGCTGTTGTGGGAACTGGTCAAAATCTGGGGACCAGCCCATAAAATGGTAATGCACCGGGCACCGTTGTCACTGGGCTGATTATCAAGTCCCTAAACGGACAACACAAAAAAGTCACAAAACGAAGCACTTTGATAGAATGCGGAGTGAAAGATGGTAGAAAAATAGCAAAAGAGAATCGAGAGCCAGAGGAGCCACTACGATAACACTCACGTTTACGCTTTGAAGACTCCTCGCTCATCTGCATAAACTGCTGCTGCTGCTGCTGCTGTTGCTCATGCTGTTGCTGCTGATGGTGCTGTTGTTGCTGCTGAGAGGCGTTCATATCCATGACGATCATGGGGTTTTGTGTCGGTGCCGGTGATTGGTCGTAGTCGCTGTAAAAGTCCTCCTGATTGGACGACAGCGTGGCGCCCGGAGAGTTCTCGGACTGCACGGTGGGGGCCAGGGTTGCCAGCTTAGACTGAAACACAGAGATAGGAGAGAAGTGTAAGCTCAGAGCGCACGGTGGGGGCCAGGGTTGCCAGCTTAGACTGAAACACACAGAGAAAAACAGAGGGAACTGTAAATGGCAGAGCAATCAGATGTACAATCAGATGTAGAAGTGGAGAGGAAAGCTGCTATCCAAATTATATTTAATTTATTTAACGCAATCACTTAAAATAAAGAAGATCCACAAGCCAAAGATCAGTTTACTTTTATCAAAAAGGTTCAAAAATTGCATTTTTGTTATCTCGACTGAATCAAATTTCCGAAATGAATTAAATGATAGCATACTTCACGACTGAAAGCAGCTCAAAGCAGGCACAACCATGCAAATATCTCGCTTGGCACCACCCAGAACATTGCCCAGGCGGCCAGTAACGAACGAGGTATCATGTTCAAATAAAGTCAGACGAGCTCCGCCGGAGCAGCGGCACCGAGTCTCATTAACACCAGACCGGCTCCCTTTGATCCGCGCTGCTCCGCCTCATGAGCGTATTAAAATAAGCGCCCTTCTGTCACCGAACAGAGGCCTCCCTATCATTTGGACACATACATTGCAGTCGGCTAAATAGCGGCTGCGGTAGAGAACAAATGAGAAAGCTTAGCCGTCTCGAAAAGACACAGGTGCGGTCCTAGGGTGCGATGTGGTATAGTAAATCGTTCTGACACCACCCGCGCAGCATTGTTCTGTTATTTGCCACAGCTGTTGTGAAATTAATGGAATGAATGGAAACATTCATTTTAGTTTGCTTATTTACAAAGGTTGAGCTGTAGCAAGTAAACGATAGCAGTTCAAAACAAGCGCTAGGTGCTACGCTCACATTCATATCTAAGAGTACGATGTCGTCCTGTGCCGCAATGAAGTCCCCAAACGTCTTCCATGTTACTTTTCTAGCCCGCAATGCAGTCACCGGCCGCCTTGGTGTTTGTGTGCTACTGTATTATCCCGCAATGCAGTCACCAGCTGTCTTGGTGTTAGCGTCTTGTGCGAGACTGCAGTTCCCGGCGAGTCTCGGGCTAGCTTTCTGTACGAAACTGCAGTCTCCAAGTGAATCGTCCATTCATTCATTCATTCATCCATTGAATTGGACACAGTCGTCAGGCAGAAACTAACGCATTCCAGCGCATAAGTCTCGCGCTGAGTATCCAACGGGCACTTTCGATCCAGAAGATCACACCTGCGTGCGACAGAGCCGACGCCAGAAAATAAATGGCGCCTCGAACTGACGCGTCTCGGAAAGAAACGGCCGCAGCCGCCGCTTCCACTAACTCGGCACCAGATGGCGGACGAGAGGCGCGTTACGTCACGGACCGAACACGCGACAACGCACGCGCCGTGCGCCAAGACGCGCACGCACCGCTGTGAAACTGCGCTAATCTACAACAGTCAGCGGGTGTTCGAGCAGCAACCCATTATGGTTTACACGAGAACAATAAATGTAATGGTAGTGTATGAGGCTGTAGGTGTATTTACATAAGTGCCGAGTTACATGGATTAACATCGGCATTAAAACTGGATTATGCTCTAGTTTTTAATGTTGCTGTTAATCAAAGGTTATTATCACAGATGTGCGCATTGTAATTATGATTAGTAGTAAATCGAGCAGAGTCATGCTGAAATGGTTTTTAATATTGAGCAGGGTATCGCTATATAGTATAGCAAAGTATCGCTACACCATTTATTGCGACGTAAAATCACGGGTAGATATTATAAACCGCACTTGATCCGCCTACGGGTAATTCCATGGATAAAAGAAATTTGTCGCACCTAGCTTTGATCTTAGCTACTATCCAGCATTTACACACTTAGGAACAAACTACTTTGCAACCAAAATTAATATCTTTTTAAAGCATAACGCGCCTTTGAGTCCCTTTACCGGCCTCAATTTGAGCTACACAGTACAGCAAGTCTCCAAGACAGACAGCCGGCGTCATCTGTTCAGCGGAGCAGTTGAAACGGCAGGTGAAGATGACAGGAACTGACTCCAGGGGGCCACCGGGGGAGGGGGGGCAGGTGCGGGGGCGGGCGGACGGGCAGGTGGACCGCCGCCGCCGCGGGCGCCTCTGACACGCGCCCCGCAGTGGGCAAACAGCCACTTGAGCGGCGGAAGCGTACCGGAAAATAGCCCCGCCGGTGAAAGGGGAGCAGCGGCAGCGCCAGGGGCGAGGTCAGAGCGGGGATCGGAGGGGACGCGCACGCAAACTTTGAGTCTGGTTTTGGATCAGCTATTTCTGTAGATGTTACCTCCTACAAGGTTTCTCAAGCTTCTAAAAAGAATCGGTTTCGGCCATTCTTCAAACTACTTAACAAACACCCATCCTATCCACCCGTCTGCCTCCCAACATCCTCCAGCTGGAGGCGCCTCTGGTACTGTCTCACGCACCCCGTCTGTCAACAGCATAACAAACGATTACTGCAGCGGCGGCCGCGGCGCCGTCTGCCGCTGTATGTGTGTGTGTGTGTGTGTGTGTGTGTGTGTGTGTCGCGGGCGTCCCGCCGAACTTCTGAGGACCTCCGGACGATGGGAGGCCGCGGTCAGCAGCGCGTGACGCCCCAGGGAAATCAGGCCAGTCTCCGGCGCACGCGGGCCGCTCTGAAGGGTTGGCGGTGTCTGAAGTGGGGAGCCACGCGCCGGGCACACCACCGCCGGATGTGGGCGGCACGGGCGGAGCCAGGTGTGCAGACGCGGGGGTGCAGGGAGAGGTGCCAGATAGTAAGACTACACAATAATGCGCCCCACTTTCTCAGTACTACTGTCTGAGAATACCCCTTAAAACATGGTTACAAAATAAACATTAGAATGAGCATCGTTGAGCTAGATAGCGCTCAGTGAGTCAATGCCATAAAATTCATTGCAGACCCGTTTGTTTGTTGGTTTGCAAACACCGATGCAGCAATGTTCGACACATCGTGTTTCACCAATGTGATTGGAATGCGCCGGGCGCCGCCGTTTCACATTGTTTATCAGTATAACGTGTTATGATTCGCTACAATACATTGCGACACTAATATCGTCAGTTGAAGTCCCGAGTAGCTGGATGAATGTAAACGGCCATCATAATAGGCAGTAGCTATGAGCCAGTTCGACATCAATGGCTGTCATAAACCACATTAAGCGTGGTTCCCATCATTATTGTACACATAAGTTGTTGTTATCATCTACTGGGACGAGACTCTCTAAATATGGTAGCACTACAGCAAGTTTATCCTCGTGTTGTGCCTCCTGTTATTTTTAGAAGTGACTTTACACGTTATGCCATCGTCACCGTGCCTCTGTTGTCTCAATAGCTGGCTTTATGGGCGGAAAATTGCGCACTTTCGCCCATCATCTCGCACCGGGGGCCTGACGCGCCGTCTCCGCAGATGTCTGGACGGTTTAACGCGGTCCCCGTCAGCCATAAAGCAGACAGCGCCATCTGTCGGTAGCAGAAGACCACGCCTGCCAATCACGAACTTTTAAAATGGTCCGCGCAATAGGGTGGACATTACTGGAGTGCTGTGACATGATGGCAACACGGCGAGATGTCGTCACCTAAATGCATAAAATTTAGCGGCACGAGGCGGGTATTCCCGAGTCTGCCGAGCCACGGGGCGCCAAAACGGCGCGCCAATTTTGCCGCGGTAATGGGGGCAGCTGGCGTACTTTGCGGCTATCTAGAGCGGCCGTAAGCAGCCAGTGTGGCAATCACCGGGAGCATTTACGAGGCCACGAGACAAGTGTTTTATGCGGCCTGTTGGCTGCTTAGTTTGGCGATGATTAACGATCTCACGGTGCTGGGAAACCGGAAGGCCGGTCGGCAGATGCCGCGGAGAACTGGTCGGCGCCTGGCTAATTTATCGTTATAGATATTTATCACGAATGGTAATAAAATCACCTAAATGGATAGTCATACCTTCAGCTCCAGAGAAGACCACCGGAGCGCACACGTCACATGCTGCTATTCCGATTTTGCAAATGTAATCAAATGTCAAACATAAGCGAGATAGCCAATAAAAAACGACATCAACCATTTAACGCCGTCACGCCCTGTTGAGACGCATATTCTCAGAGCAGTACCCTTGGCGACTGGTTACCAAGGCAACTGTTCCCTAACGAGCTCGGTCGGCCGTCAACTGACTCAACATAAATCGCTGAACAGTTCGCTGGGAGCAGATGGGTTGCCAGATGCGCAGTAGCGGCCACTAAGCTCTGTAACTGGCAACCGAGGTCATATTGCTGACAGTGGCGCCGAAAAGGCACCACACCTGTCGCGCTATACATGTAAAGGAATACGCAAACTAACTCTATACACTGAGCTGCTCACCCTGAGGTGGTAAGCTTCTCAGCTCACCCCGATGAGAAACTGAATGCTCCATATACTATTATGTGTCACAACCCAGTTTGAACAGCTCCGGCAAACAGCGATAGCCCACAACTCCGATTTCATGCTTCAGGTCGGTCACATGTTGTCATGCGTTACCTAACCTAAACGTGCTATCAATATGTGTCACGTCAAACATCCGTATGTGTCAATCGGAGAAGGCACTATCATTTCTTAGCGTCACCAATAGCATATACCATAATCCATGGCAGAGCACCACCTCTATACCACGAAGACACATTCGGTGTCATGTCTGAAGCACCCTAACCAAGCTACCAGCTCTGTGTGAAATCGACCGATCCATCTTCCTCGACTATCTGTCCGCAGTGAGATGATGGTCACACCGGTTTGGGGCGACCCAGACACCCAGACATGCACGCAGTTGACCGAGCGTCAGCGTGTGCATATGCTCCCCGATACGGCGAGCAGGGGATGATGGATTCGTGTTTGTGTCGAACCCAGAGATCGGTAAAGCCCGCCTGGGAAAAATTCAACGGTTTATGCAACACAGGTATGCCACTGTTTGAGGAGGTCGGGTGCGACGTCATGCTTATTTGAACATATCGCCTGAGCCCACACACCATAGAGAATACGCTGGAATGATGGATCTTTTCA